TAAGATGTGTAGGTAGCCCAGTGCTGAAAGGAGCAAAGTGGCAAATAATAGTAGGTAGAATGAACTACGTATTATTGTTTTAACTACAGTCAATGGTGTAGTAACTATGTTTAAAAATTATATACAATTTAAGAAGAATTATCAAGGCTGGCAAAATTGTCCAGTCAATGCATATTTTTATCAGTGTCTTTCAGCTCCTTGCTTTCAAGGCTAGCCCCCGTTTGTGCTTTGTTTCAAGTAATGTGTACAGCACCCCCAGTCTCTGTGTTACAATTTGCTTGCAATGAAAGTAATTATTTACACCACAGTATAAATTTAAGAACACCAACAAAAGTCCTGAAATAGGCTTGTCTAACCTTTGACTTCACAGCCCTACATAACAAAGTTCATTCTTGAGAACAACATGATTGAGTTCTTAAAATAACCTCATGCTTTAAGTTATCTTACAATTTTGTATTTGACAACATTCATAGCTATCCTCATGAGACCACAAGCCACAGGTTGGACAGACCTGCTAGGACCTCAAACATCTGACTTTCTGTTGCTGGGGGCATTATAAGTCAGAGTAGACATATTTGCTACTTTAGCATCATCCCTCATAAACAGCATTGTCATCACTTTCCAAATGAAGAAAACGAGTCACACATTAGGTGAAAATCCCAACTCCTGAATCTATGAGAAGTAAACCATATCTGTCATCTCAGAACTAGGGAGGAAGGCTGAGCCCATCTGAGCTACATAGCTTTGAGACTAGCGTGGACTACAGAACAAGAGCACCCATCCAAAATGTAAATTATATTCTGGTTGTAGCCATCTCTCTTGTTTCCATAACTCAGTCATTTCCTACCCCCTGACCCACTCTGCACTCTCCTTTCTCTGTGGTCTTAGGTGGAACTACCTGTTCTAGTCAGTAGTTAGTTCTAGTGCTGTCACAGAAGAGGTTAGCCTAGTCTTCACAAAATAGATAAGTTTGGGAAACCTGTGAGCAGATGGGAGAGTGTGCCAGGAGATAGCACCATGCTAGGTGGCTCACCCCAGTCCTGAATGTAGGAGAGACACACAGAATTTCATAAGCAATTCTTCATCTGGCCTCAACAGTTTCTCTGGCTTCCACCTCTGATGCCTGGTAAAGGCCACGTGAAACTGCATTGGTGAACAGTGTGGCTGCTCACTAGACTTTGCTCATTAGTCACGATTATCAACATTAAGTCACATATGCCAGCTCAGGTGCCTATAATAGGATCCATGTTCTTTGGCTGTCATCATGGACTCATCCATCTCCTTGTATAACCCTGACCTGGTGAAGCATGGTGCTATAGTGGGGAGTCTGGGAGTGGAGGGGGATGGGTGAATGCACATACAGGCTTTCTTTCAAGTCAGTCTTCCTGTTCCTTTCCTCCTGCCCCATAGAACTCACTCTCAAATGGCTCTTCATACTTAAAATGGTAAGACTATTTCCCGCTAGTACCAGCATGGCAACAGGAGATTTTTGAAGTGTGTTCACTAGTCTTAATCACATATCTTTCATCCCAATTTTTATAAACTCTTTGAAATAAAGAGACAATACAATAATTGGCAAGGGTTTGGGATAATGGGTGAAGAGGAGGAGCTTAGGGACATTTATCAAGACTGAATTATGGGGTTTATGAAATGGCTCTGTGGGTAAAGTGCTGTCCAAGCACGAGGACCTGAGATTGGATCCCCAGAACCCATGTGAAAACTGAGCCTGTGGGCACATGCTTGAAGCTCAACACTGGAGAGAGGAGACAGACAGATCTGGGAGGGGGTGATATCCAGTCAGCTGTGTTAAAGTGGTGACTTCTGGGTTTACTGAGAAATCCTCTCTCAAAAACTAACATCCCAGTGTCACCCTCTAGTCCACACGCACATACCTGAATAGCAAGCTCACCAGTGGACACGTGCACACACATTCATGTATCACACATATAGACACACCAACTGCATTGTTGAAGCCATGGCTATTGAGTAGGGATTCTTAGAGTAGATAAAATTTTAATTGTAGTTGATCTCCCATCAGTAGGCTCTTAACTTGAATAACTCTTGAGAAATAGATGTATGGGGGTGACATTTAACTGTCATCATCCAAAACTGAGAGGACTATCTGAATTTCCTGTCATAATCCTCATCTGGGTTTGGCATTATTTTAAGTGAAGCAAGGGAGAAGTCTAATTAGTAATGACAGTACATTCAGCTGCTGTCTCCACAGTTGTTTATAACTGATATATGGGACTGAAAATGCTGCTTGTCTTGTGATCATTTCTGTGAGGGCAGACCACAGTAGAGGATACTAATGGGGAAAGAATTACAGCCTGTTCTTACCACTTAGACATACCTTACAGTCGGTCATTATTTAGATTGGATCTAAAACACTTAATTTATATGCACCAATAGTATTTTTATTGAAATATTCACCCAAGAATTGCAAATGTAAGGCTAAATAAAATTATCTCCAAGGAAGAAGTTACATGAGGATTGCCATCCAAGAACTTGGTAACCACCCCCACCACCCCACACTCCATGTGTGGGGTTCTCTACCATGCTCCTGTAGTCATGGCTGCCAAGATTATCAGGATGGAAGTGAAGCCTGAAAAGGCCTGGCTGATTCATGAGAGGACATGCTTATTACCCAAAGCTTAAGGATGTCTGTAACTTGTGGTTAAGGTGTAGGCAGTGGTCTAATCATACCTGGAAAGTCTCTTAGGTCACAACTCTATCCAAGAGGTAAAGGTGTGGTCAACAAAGGACTGACAGTGGATACATGGTTGAAATGAAGTTCTTATGACTTCATCTGTCTGGAAGTCAGAACCACTAGGCACTCACACTGAAGACAATGGAAATTAAGTTTCCTTATCAATTAAGACCAGGAACTGGAAAATTTAGCCTATTTGTGACCAAAGAATAGGCTTTCCACCCTTTGCCTCAATTAGAGTTTCTATTGCTGTGATGAAACACCATGGTCAAAACCAAGTTGGGGAGGGAAGGATTTATTTGATTTACCTTCCATGCCCCTGTTCATCATCAAAGGAAGTCTGGGCAGGAAGTCAAATGGCAGGACTCATGGAGGCCATGGAGGGGTGCTGTTTACTAGTTTGTTCCACATGGCTTGCTCAACCTGCTTTCTTACAGAACCCAGGACCAGCCCTGGGGATGGCCCCACCTACAAGGGGCTGGGCCCTCCCCCATCAATCACTAATTAAGAAAATGTTCTACAGGCCTGCTCACAACCTGATCTTATGGAGGCACTTTCTCAGTTGAGGTTCCCTCCTTTTTGATGACTGCAGTTTGTGTCAAGTTGTCATAAATCTAGCCGGTACACCCCTTGAAGCTGAAAGGAGGCTGTTTTGGTGAAAAGTTGGATGAGGGAGATGAGATACTAGAAACACTGATACAGTGCATCTCAGAATGCAGCTCTTTCAATTACACTCTGCTTTGACTAGAGTATTTAGGTTGGGTTGGAGAGATTGCTCATCCATTAAAGGCTAGACTCACAACCCAAATGTCGCTAGAGCATTAGGCACCCCCAAAGCAATCTAATTAAATTGTTCAATACAAGATGCTTTATGAATGAGCTGGCAATCTAAAGAAAGGAGATTCCATAGTATCCTAATAGACAGTAAATGATTAAGCCATTATATTTTCAACATATTTCAGTGTTTGCAAGTTCACAGTTTGGGACAACTCAGTAAACCATCCAATTCAAATAAACTATTCTCTTTATTACATATTTTTATAACTTTTAAAAAAACAATTTATGTTTTAATTTATGTATATACCTGTGTAAGCATATGCCACATGTGTACAGGTGTCCATGGAGGCCAGACAAGGTGCCGGATGCCCTGGAGTTAAAGTTAAAGTTTGAGTTGTCTGGCCTGGGTTCTTGGAATGGATCTCAGGACTCTTGGAAGAGCAGCCAGCAGCTCTCAACTGCTGAGCCATCACTCCAGCCCCCTCTATTCTGTAACTCTGACTTTGGAAAGAATTTATCTTCCCGTGTCCCTCCATTCCACAAATGCTTCATGGAACAACTCTTGCTAAATATTCACTGTGAATCCATTGCCATATAGGATCAGCATTAGGAAACTTAGAGTTTCTATTTAAAAATCACCACGTACTTATTTCTTAATGTTCTATTTTATGGACTCTGCATTTCCCATATTTCCCTAAGCACTTTGAATGCTTGGGAAAAATCCCCACTGAGTTGGGTCAAGCTTTGCAGGTCTCAGCTAGAAAGTTTATCTGCTCTTTCTTGGAATTTGCCTTCATTTGGGGTCTGCAAAGTTTTCAGTTCATCTGTGAGAAGGGGAACATCCTTTGGCGGCTTCAATGTCTGGACATGAAACTTCTGCTTGGGCATAGAACACTTATTCAATGGATGAGAGATTTTAAACCCAATTCAGGGATTCACTTTTCAACTTGTGCTCCTTTCTGTAGACATAGTGGACGAGGTCCACCGTTCAGACTTTGACCAGTTTAAATTATTGTACAAATGCTTATGGATGATAGTCTTCTAATTGGCATCATCAAGGCTGTGTTGAATCTTTTATCATTGCATCACTATTGTTTCCAAGGATGCTCCCTTGGCTTCCCTGAACGACTTTTCACATATTTAATATTAGTCAGTATGAACTGGTGGAGCTGAAGGAGGGGCTGACCTCAGCTTGCAAAGAAGTTGGATTTGAAAAATCTGCTTGGAAATCGATCCTCTAGAATGCAGACTCATTCCCAGTTCATTTCCATATGAATGCTGTTGATGGATTTGGGCAAGTCAGAACAATTTTAGACACTCCTAACATAGGGTTTATGGAACCAACTGATTTGTGTGATGTCAAAGTAGGGTCAAGAGAGCAAAGAGGGAGGAGAGGACCATTTCCTTCCAGCCCTGGCAGCAAGGGTTCCCCAGAGATTTGCATGCATTAAATCAATCCCTTCCTGCTGTTTTTTAGTATCTTTTTTTTTTTTTTTAAGACACTCTCATGTACCTCAGATTGACCTCCAGCGATGCTTAGGTAGGCCTTGAACTCTTTATCTTCTTGCCTCCACCTCCTGAGTGCTAGCATTATACTGCAACACTGTGCAAGAACAAGAGCAGAGAAAGAAATAATATGATTAATCCTTGTTAAGATATGAATGACTGCTAGCCAAAACAATTTTTATGTAGTAATTAACTTTCATAAAGAATTATCTGGAAATTATACTGCTACACAGGCATAAGTTCAAGAAGTATAATAAGATTAGTGGAAAAGTCAATAAAACATAAGGAAGTCCTTCTGAGAAAAAAAAAAAAAGCAACAGACCTCCCCCACAGCTGAGCCCTAGGTTGCACATGTTAATCCTTTTAACTGTCTACTATCCTCTAAGCCCATTTCTAGAGGCTTTCTGTCTGCTTTGTTTTCTTGCCCTAAAGTTTGGTTTAACCCCGGTGTTTTCTGTGAATAAGGAGCAGGGTGAATTGACTTCATGAGCCTGATAGAAGTCTGTGCGTGTGCCTTAGACTCAGCCACTCACTCACTTACTATCCACCTGGTAGGTAGCTCGGAAGACTAGAGTCATAGAGGATGGACATCTTCCTTACAACCAGCTCCGGGTCCTACTTTCCATGTCTCTGTAACACACTGGGTTAAAGGATGGACACAATATCACAACTGTGGGTTAAAGGATGGACACAGTATCACGACTGACCATCACGAGGAGACAGCAGAGTTGCCTGTCCTAAAGATTTGAAATGGCATACGATCAAGAGGAAGGTGGAGGTAGCGGGTTCATGGAAGCCCATTAAGTGAAAGCTAATTCCTCATCGTAAGCACAGCTATTCCATAGATTAAGTTTTTAAAGTTTTCTTAAATTCTTTGTAATACACAGTTTAGCTTGGTCTCAAGAATGGATGGAGGTTGTACCTCTGGCTCTGGATGGTCCTATACCTCTGGCCCTGGGTGGTCTTGTATCTCTCTCTGGTCCTGTGACAGGACTTTCTAAGCTGTTCAAAAGACTGTACAAAGATACAGCCTTACCCCTCCCATGAGCTAACAAAACTGGGCCTAATTATCTGGACAGGAAAACATCCCTCAAAAATCTGTCTGTTCCACTACTCCAGTCCCCTGGGACCCTGCCCAACTACATGGCTAACCCAGCTCTCTTTCTTCCTGTGGACCCTCTCAGCATCCTCTTCTAGCCCAATCCTATTCTGCTATGTCAGCTGCCAATACTTAGTGGCATCCTTTACCTGTGAACTAGCTGGCCATGCCAGCCTGGGAATCACTCAGGCGATCTACACTGTCTTTCCTGTCCTCCTCTGCAAATTCCCCTGTCACATCCCTAACTCTGTAGCAGACCACTTGCAGGGACCTGTCCTTCCTCATTACTGGTGTTCCTGGGGAATCTGCCAGACCTTACAGTGGACCCAGTTTTCCTCCTTTCTGTGGTCTCTCCCAGGCCCCCTTCCAGACCATCCCCATTCCTCTGTGTCAGCCAGGGATACCTGGAAACACAATCTACTTGGGACTCCCAGTGGTCATATCTGACTCCTTCCCAGGTAATCTGTTGCCACAACTCTTGCCTAAGATCCAGAGAGGGCAACAGAAACCAAGGAACCAAACTCTACCCAATAAAGATAGCAGCACCCTAAATCACCTCAGTCATTCCAATGCTGGATGCATAATATCAACTCCAAAACCAGAATCATTAGTACCTAAGACAGCATGTCTCCACCAGGACCCAGCCATCCTACTGCAGTAGGTCCCCAGCAATGTGATACGGCTGAGGCACAAGGAGTTCAAAAAGCCACTATAAAAATGTACAATGATCTTAAAAAGGACAGGAATACGTCTCTTAATGAAATCTATGAGAATACAATCAAACAAAATGAAAAACAAAATGCAAGGCTTGAAAGTAGAAATGGACTCACTAAAGAAAACCCAAACTGAGGTAAAATTGGAAATGAGAAATTTAAGAAGTCGAACAGAAACTTCATAGGCAAGCCTCGCCAATGGAGTGCAAGATGCAGAAGAGAGCATCTCAGGCACTGAAGACAAGGTAGAATGGATGCCTCGGTCAAAGAAACATCCAGGAAATCTGGGACACTATGAGCAGACCAAATCTAAGAATAATAGGAATGGAAGGAGGAGAAGAAACCAGGGTCAAAGACACAGAAAATACTTTCAACAAAATGTGCATGGAAGATCAAGACACAACATACAAGGTACAAGAAGTAAGCAGAACACCAAATAGACTGGACGAGAGGAAAAAAAGCCTGTGTGTTCCAGAATCTCAAAGAAACACAATACACTCGAAGACATACTAAGGCGAATGGAGAAATTACCCCCCCCCCAAGAGGTGTGCCCCTCAGAAGCCCCTCCTGGGTGAGCACAAGCTCTCCCTGCTAACCCCGCCCACTCTCTGAGGTCTAACTCTGAACTCAAAGTCTTTTCATTTTCCTCTTTCTGGCTCTGTTTCAGACACTGGCCACAATCCTAAAATGCTTGCCTGGTCGTTCTGTGTATTCTCTTTCTCTGATGCCCTTCACCCCAGGAAGCTCTCCCAGATTTCCTTGCTAATCCCGCCTGCTTCTTTGACTCCAGCTCAACAAACGGCTTTCTAGGTTCCCTCTTCCAGAAGCTTCCAAGGTCCCCAGCTTGTCTGCGTAGTTGTTTTTTGCATAGTTGTTTTTCCCTCACATTCTAATAAAATTGCCCTCTAGGCTCCTTCTGAGTCTGTTTTTAGATTTGAGAGTAAGGTCCTGCAGAGGGGACTCTGTGTTCCCTGATAACACGCTCTCTCATTCAGGAGCATTTGTCATCTGCCCCTTAGAATACTGCAGAGCTTACGGTAGTAAACAAGATGACTCAGAACAGGCCTCTGCTCAGGCAGCTGCCAGAGAAGTGGGGAAAACAAATATGTCAAGATGATTAAAGTGCCACGATCTATATCCAAAGCCCCAAAGCTACTAGAGGAGTTGGGAAAGCTTCGCGGAGAACGTGGCACGCAGAGCAGACGATGTTTGCGTGTGGATACTAATGACTCCACAAGTGAAAGGCAAGGGTTGTGAGTGCATAAGTTGGGTGAAAGGGACAAGGAAATGAAATGCAAATGCTGGGATGTCCTTTAGGACAAAGGAGTCTTTCTTGGAAGCTAGTGTCCTGGAAATTTGATGGCCACCCAAGGCCACCCTGAGCCAGTGACTTTTGCATTCTTGTCTTGTGTATTGGAAGAATGAAGCTCCCAGATGACACTGGGAGACTTTTAAAGAGTTTATTATAGAGTCACAGGTGGGGATATGTTGGAACAGAATATTCATTTCTGTATTCCTAGTATCGACAAAGACACAGGAACAAAGTCAAAGTAACTTGGCAAGGCGTTGTACTTTTGAAAAAGTCCTTAACAACCCAAACCAAGAGATGCTAGCACACAGTGGTGGGCGAAGTTCACTTTGTGTTTATTCTATCACAGGGTGGTTGCTGTGTGTCACCCCCTGGGTGGGAGCTTGACCTAATAAACTGACACAATTGGATAACTCCAAATTGGAGCAAAGGGGAAGGGTGGGATAGAGTCAAGTCTCAGGAATGCCTGGCATCCAGGGCTTGGGCAAACAGACAAATACACAAGACTTTCTCAAGACAGGAGAGATGGATGGATAGGAGCCCTCAGTGGGCTAGCTGTCTTTAATAGGAAAAACAAAACAGAAACCTCACATTTTCTCACAAGTTGTTACTGGACTCAGGGGTCACAGCCTGTGCCCCAATGAGCCAAGTTCAGCCATTTATCCTCAATAAGACAATTTAAGGGGCCAAATTAAAAGTGAGGCAGAAAAAAAGACTCATTCAATGTGGTCACAGGGACAAAGACCCAGTGGCTCTTCTAGAGGGCTTCTTCAGGGTCCTGACCTGAGGGGAGAGTTTAATAGAAAAGGGGGATATATATATGTCAAGGCATGGTCCCATGCACACCAGTGTCTCAGCTCCAGGTCTCTCCTATGAGGGCTCTGACCAGCCCCAAGTCTTTCTCCAGGACACAGGCTACCTCCAGGGCTTCAGCTATTTCCTCTCACAGCAAGAGATTCCTAGGGGAAATTGTCATTTCTTTATCTTCATTTTCTTTTTGTTGTTGTTGTTTCAAGACAGTGTTTCTTTGTGTAGCTTTGGTGCCTATCCTGGCGCTCACTATGTAGATCAAGCTGGCCTCCAACTCATAGAGATCCCCCTGCCTCTGCCTCCGAGAGCTGGGATTAAAGGCGTGTGTCACCACCGCCGGCTACATTTTGGCAATAGCCTGATAGCTAAAGAGGGAAGCATGAAGCATTTCTTTGGAATCTATTCATTCCCACCAGATAGGCCAGTCCCAGGAGCTGAGTGAGCAAGGAGGAGAGGGCCATCTTATTTGAATGAGCAGAGCATGAGGTCAGCCACTTGACAGACAAGTAGCTTCTTGGTAAAAGTGGGAGGAGCGAGCAGGCTTTAGAGAAAGACCGGGCCACTAGGTAAAGTTTACTTGGGTTCTGGCTAGCACCAAAAAGAAAGAAGAGCAGGGAAAAGCAAAATTCTGCCTCTTGAAGGGAGTCAGACCAACAGAACCCCAAGATTGTCCTGGGCTGCCTCATGGGGCAGGAATCCTGGGAAGAAAACGCACATTCTCTCATTAAAGGAATAAAAATTCCTTCTGTGTCTATGGCTTCTGGTGGATCTGCATTCCTAGGAGTGGACCTTCCTACTTTCTTGATTTAACCAGGTGACTGGCCTGCCCACTTTTTTTGTTTTGAGACAGCATGAATTTCAAGGCCTCTACCAGGCCAGAGAAACCACTTTCCCTAATTGGCCTCCACAGTTCCCTAATCGAGGCTACTATTAACAATAATGAGGATGGAAACTAAACACTCAGGTAGGGACTGTAACTTTACCTACTGAGGGAGGCCAGAAGGCCACTTGAAGATTTGCCTTTGCTTTTTCCTGGAGAAATGTGAACAGATACCTATCTATTCATGCTAATAACAGATCAAGTTCAACATGGTGAACATTGCTCTTATTGGGCTTATCTACAGGAGTATGGGTAACGGATGATGGGTAACTGACAGGAGCACCAGTGACCATAAAATAGCTGCATCATTGCTACGTGAGTGAAGATGTCATGTAAGTTGCACCATGAAGCCTCACTTTCACTAACTGCCACTTTTGGTATACTTAGGGACCTTCCTCAGCCACTTGCAGTATGATAGGCAGGAGAAAGCAGTGGCTGTAGTACCAAATTAGGGTCCTGGGATCCTTCCCTTTTACTATCATGGAGTACTAACACCATAGCCATGACTGTATCACTGTACTGTCCTGCTTGATCCATTGCCATGATTACTCGGGCAAAGGTTCTCTCTGTGCTAAGATGATTATGAGATGTCTTTTTCATGTATCAAGGAAAAAGTCACAGTGCAATAGGAATCTTAACCACAATTTTTTCCTGATGTGCTCATAAGGAAAATAAGTATACATTTTCAGAATCATATAAGTGAACAATTTGAGTGATTATGTAAAACATAGGAGAGAATGTTTCCAGGAATCTGTACAGAATTTCTTCTCAAGCACCTGGTTTTTGCTGGAATCCCAAGGAATCACTTCTAGCTCCAGTACTCTGTAAAGACTTTCTTGTTGGTAAACCAAGCCTACTTTCTGCATTTGGCACCCTTACTGCATAGATGGCTACCTCATAGGTAAGCCCTGAATGATTTAGTAGAAATCAACATCCAGACAGTTCAAAGTTAAAGAATAAACACTTTTACCCTGTATGTGGTGAAGAGCCATGGAAAGAACACTGTGCCCAGTGACCACAGAGTTTACTGGGATATGGATGCCACTTGTGCATAGGTTCAAGATTGTGTGTGCTTGAACAAGTGATTGGAGACAGACATGTGAATAGTAGTAAACTGAGTGAGAGACACTATTGGAAGGTTGTATTTCCAAAGGAATAAGTGAGCGGGGTCAGAGAAAGAGGTTAGAAGCTCAGTGGCCATGCTATATAGAAGATGGGGACTTTTGTGTCAAATTTCATGGGCATTTTGAATCATGAGCATAGCTTGGGCTTTCTCTCCTCTGTTCTCTATAACATGTAGCTCTACATACCTTTAGGCACTCTAATGTAATGGTTTTCAACCTGTCGGTTGTGCCCCCTTTGGAAGGTCCAATAATCCTTTCACAGGGGTTGTCTAAGACTATTGGAAACACAGCTATTTCCATTATAATATGAATACAGATATCCATAACAGTAGTAAAGCAGTTATGAATTAGCAATGAAAATAATTCTATGGTCGGGGGTCACGACAACATGAAGAACTGTATTGAAGAGTCACAGCATTAGGAAGGTTGAGAACCCCTGCTCCAGGGTGTCTCTGGAAAGCTTCTGCCTGTTCCAGCAGCTCCAGTGAGATCTAGTAGCTGAGAGGATGAGTCTGTTCACTCTTTCTTCCTCTTTGCCAGCACATTGTTCTTGAATGCTACTCTTGCCTTACCTGCTGCTCATATTGGGCATTCCTTCCTACCCCATCTTAAGCCTACTGATACAATAACCAAAAGGCAGCTGTTTTGACTATTACTAATGGAGGATACTAATAATTTTATTCCCAAGATTGTGAAGTTAAATAGATTGTTTAATAGCTAAGATGCAGATGTGACATTCCTTTGAGGTTAAAGATTAATTAATTAGATTACAATGGAAACAACTTTCGAGCTACTCTGAGTAATTAATGTCACTTTAAAACTTAGTATCAGTATTTTCTGAAGTTGAGTTTCTGCTTTCAATTGAGTTTTTTTACCTGCAGACACACTCACATAGAACCACACTTCCACTTCTTCTCACTGAAACTGGGGAACCCATACATGGCCTTTTTGTGGGTTCTTAGTTCCATAGATAAAGCATTTATTTATATTGTTCTATTATTTATTAATAAAAATTTGGAAGTCAGATATTGGGGTCAAAACCTGATAGATCCAAAGAGTAATTGAGGAACCATCAGTTGACCCTCCCTCTCCATACTTCCCAGATCAAAAAGACAGCAAATCTCTCCAATCTCTCCCTATATCTTCCTGTGCCCCCCAATCTGGGTCCACCAAAACCTTTATGGCTAATTATTGTCAAACAATCACCAACTCCACTCTCTAATTCAAGGTAAACTTTGTTGTCAGTCTCAGAGTGTCAGTGTGAACAAATGTCCCACAAGATTTCTCCCTTTTTGTCTAAATAAGATGGGAAGGTTTAACTCTAACATAGTAAAATGATATACAATAATAACAGTTATCAGGTAGTCTCCAAATAAAAAGGAAAGGTTTTAACTTTAACAAAGTAAAACTATATACAATAAGAACAATTATCAAAAAAGAATTATATTCAGTGTTCAGTCCGTTTGTATTTGGCAACTTCAGAGAAAATACTCTATTATCAATCCTATTTTGGTGAGTCCAAAGTTTTGTACCTAACTCATTTTCTATCATAACTTGTATTACCTACCTAAAAATTCTTTTTAGACCTTAAAGCATTGTCTTAGACAAACAAGTTAAGCTTTTATGTTTCTCAACTCTATACATTTTACATCTCTTTTGTGAGTTTCTTTTCTGAATTTGGTCACAAGGAAAACTATAATAATAACTATCTAGTCTTTAACTCTATCATAGATCTAAGCAGGATATAATATTACCTGAGTAAACAGGAAGTACAAAGCAAACAACCTGCAAAATTATAGAAATGACAGAGATAGCTGGCTGCCTGGATAGTCACCCAAGGTTCCTCTGCAACATTGTGGTATCAATCTTTGCCCTATATGCCTAGACTATCTGACAAACTTTTCTTTGAAGCAGGAATTTTTGGAGGACTAACTTACCTTGTCTTGGAAAAGTTCTGTAGCCACCTTCTTTGGTGTTCTGCTTGTCAGGTTTGGACAGCATACTGTCAGCAGTCGAGGCAAGAGCAGTTTCTTGCTCAGTGGTTAACTTTTCCACAAGGAAAGAAAACTCCATATGGAGGGTCTTTGATGCCCATCATCCTTTTTTGAAGTAAATTGGTGCTGCCAGGAGCAGACATGTCTCTTTGTCCTGATAAGCCTTTTGTTATTAAACCATCTTAAATGCCATATTCTTTAGGTATCTAAGATGTTTGAAGACCATCTGTGTAAAACATATGTTTGACCTTGAAAACATATATAACATGGGCACAAATTTGACTGTTTTAGATGACTAAATACTAACCTGCATTACTTAATTCTAAATAGTTTGCAATAATAACTTTCAAGGACTAGAAGTTTACATTACATTGTTAAATGAGCTGCATAGGTACTATGCTTTAAACAAGAGCAGAAACATATATACACTATAATAAAAGTAACCTTAAATTTGAATCAATACACTAAAATACCTTAAACAAGAGCAGAAACACACACACACACATATATGTGTAATGTTCTAACCAAAATAACCTTAAACTTGTATCAATATACAAAAATCTATACCAATGTTGAGACTAGTAGTTGCTCTTTTTTTAGTTTAAAAGTAGATTCAATAATCTACCCTTTTTTTCCTATCATTCCTATATCCCTCTTTTTTCTTTTCAGAACCAGATTCCTAAATCTAATCTCCTTTTCTTAGTTTCCTCCCTGACCATGACCAATAACAATGTGCAACAAACCCTACCTAAATGATAATAAACATCCATAGCTCACTGACCACTAAAGCCCACCCATCCCACTTCTTGGTAATGTGGATGTGTTGTTCTCAAAATGACTTCCTATTGTATGGGGGAGATGGCATCTTTAGGAAACCCTGAGAAAATTGAGATAATGGTCAAGTCCTGGGAGAGTTAGCTGTTGTTCAGTCTCTGTGTGATAGGAAATTGCAGATCTTATCTGAAGTCCTGGCTGGAGCAGTCTATGAGGCTGGACCATCTTAGCTAGCAGCTTTGAAGTTGTTCTGAGCAGTCAGTAGTCCAAAGCTGATCTTTGGGTGGTGTTTGTCAACTTAGTGGTGTTGCCACAATCCAGGAGAATTCTTCATCAATATAACACATATCCTGGTTCCCATTAATTCAGCAGTTATTTTTACTACCCAATGTCTCTCCTTCGCTGTCTTTCCTTTCTCATTAGCATTTAAAAATTTAAAGTTAATAAAGTATTGTATAATCTATCTCTGGGAGTCTTTATTACCCTTTTACATTTATTAAGCTTATCTTTTAAAGTGAGATTAGCTCTTTCTATAACTGTTTATCCTATAGGAATGTATGATATACCTATAATATGCTTTATGTTGTAATATGCAAAAAACCCTCTCATTTTACTAGAGACATATACTGGAGCATTGTCAGTCTTAACTTGTACAGGTATTCCCATAATTGCTATAGCTTCTAATAAATTTGTAATTGCAAAATCAGCCTTTTCAGAACTTAAAGAAGTTGCCTATTGAAATCCTGAATGTGTATCTATGGTATGGTGCACATACTTCAGTTTTTCAAACTCCAGAAAATCAAACACATCCATTTGGCAAATTTCATTTCTTTGAGTACCCTTTGGGTTACTTTCGTCAGGCAATAGAGTTTGCTTATATAGAGAACAAGTTGAACATTTCTTTATAATTTCCTTTGTTTGTTTCCAAATAATAGAAAACCTTTCAACAAACCTTTGCTATTAACATGGTGTTTCTTATGAAATTCTGAGGCCCACAGCACATTTGCTACCAGTAGCTGATCAATCTCATCAGTACCTTATGCTAGAAAAGTTAAGGAGGAAAGGGTTTATTCAGCTTATACTTCCACATCACTGAAGGAAATCAGGACAGGAACTCAAACATGGTAGGAACCTGAAGGCAGGAGCTGATACAGAGGCCATGGAAGGGAGCTGCTTACTGACTTACTTCCCCTGGCTTGCTCAGCCTGCTTTCTTACAGAACCTAAGACCAGCAGTCCAGGGGTGGCCCCACACACCATGAGCTGGGCCCTCCCCCATTGACCACTAATTGGAAAAAATGCCTTACAGCTGGATCTCAAGGAGGCATTTCCTCAACTGAACCTCCTTCCTCTCTGATGACTCTAGTTTGTGTTAAGTTGACATATAAAGCCAGCCTGTACAACTTTTTTGTTTTTTTGTCTGTTTGTTTTTGTGTGTTTTTTGAGAGATGGTTTCCTATCCAGGTGACAAACTGGCCCATTTGGATGTGTGGTGTGTGTGTGTGTGTGTGTGTGTGTGTGATGTATGCAGGGTGTGCGTGCTTGAAGAGTACATACGTGATTATCAGAGGACGATCTGGGGCATCGGTCATCACACAACATCCACTTGTTGAGACAGGATCTCTCACTGTCTAGAAATTTTGCTTTAGGCCAGACTAGCTGGCCCTTGAGCTCCCAGGGACCCACCTTTCTTTATCTCCTCTCTTGCCATTACTGGGATTGAAGGCACATCTTACTGCAGTCAGTTTTTGCATGGGTTCTGAGGATCCACACTCAAGGTGTCTTGTTTGCAAGGATGTAATTTAGCAACAGCTATATTGCCACCCCCTCTACAGGAGACAAGAGGATTTTTTGTGGTTTCATGGTCTTTTGGACAGTTTAGAAAGTCGTGTGTCTATCTAGGGTTTATGACTCAGTTCCTGGTCTTTTGACCAAAGAAATAATGTAGTATATAGTGTGTAAGAAAAAAAAATTACAAGTCTATGATAGCCATGCATTCTCAGGAGGCAATAGAGTTCTGTTAATGGACCTCAGTCTACACTTCCTCCTTTTCACATGCTATTATAAACTTCTGGAGAGGCAGCTGGGTTGTGATACTGTCTCCGTCCTTAAAATTAGCATATTCCAAGGAGGTGGGATCTGTATTAGTTACTGGACTTGTTGCTTTGACAAAAGACCTGACGGGCCACTTAGGGAAGGAAGGGTTTGTTTGGCGTACAGCGTATAGGCTGCTATGAGGGGGGAGGCATGGCAGAGGGAGCAGGAGGCAGCTATTTACACTGAAGCCACAGTTAGTAGATGTTGGTGTTCAGCAAGCTGTCTCTTTTATGCAGTCTGGGACACCAACTGATGGAACAGTGCCTAGATAATTAGGATAATTAGGGTGGCACCTTAACATACCCAAAGGCTTGTCATTTCAGTGGTTTACATCCTGTCAAGTTGACAATCTGTATTAAGAATCAAAGGGTTAATTATGATCATGGTTATGAAGAAGGAGTCCATCATTCAAGCTTTCTGTCTAATTAGTCACTTAACACTACTGAAGCATATGCTTTAGTAATTAAGTGAGCTATCATAGACTTTATCAATTCATGAGGTTTCTCCAGAAAATATGATCTAGTATCTTTTCCAAAGGTAAAGTCTTATTACTAGACTTGTGGTTGAGAATGAAAATTGCTCATTTACAACTGGAACTTAAACTTTTAACTCTATATGTTCTTTGGATTTTTGTTCTCTCCAGGTGCATTTTGAACAGTGTCTGAGACTAACTCAACCCAGAAAAGCAAAATGATCCTCAATTCTTCTACTGAAGATGGTATTAAAAGAATCCAAGATGACTGCCCCAAGGCTGGCAGGCACAATTACATATTTGTCATGATCCCTACCCTCTACAGCATCATCTTTGTGGTGGGAATATTTGGAAACAGCTTGGTGGTGATTGTCATTTATTTCTACATGAAGCTGAAGACTGTGGCTAGTGTTTTTCTTCTGAATCTCGCCCTGGCTGACTTATGCTTTTTGCTGACTTTGCCACTGTGGGCTGTCTATACCGCTATGGAATACCGCTGGCCCTTTGGCAATCACTTATGTAAGATCGCTTCAGCCAGTGTCAGTTTCAACCTCTATGCCAGTGTGTTCCTGCTCACCTGTCTCAGCATCGATCGCTACTTGGCCATTGTCCACCCAATGAAGTCTCGCCTCCGACGCACAATGCTGGTGGCCAAAGTCACTTGCATCATCATCTGGCTGCTGGCTGGCTTGGCCAGTTTGCCAGCTATTATCCACCGAAATGTGTATTTCATCGAGAACACCAACATCACAGTTTGCGCTTTCCATTATGAATCTCAGAACTCAACCCTACCCATTGGGCTGGGCCTGACCAAGAACATTCTGGGCTTCATGTTCCCTTTCCTGATCATCCTCACTAGCTATACTCTTATTTGGAAAGCCCTAAAGAAGGCTTATGAAATTCAGAAGAATAAGCCAAGAAACGATGACATCTTTAGGATAATTATGGCGATCGTGCTTTTCTTTTTCTTTTCCTGGGTTCCTCACCAAATCTTCACTTTTCTGGATGTCCTGATTCAGCTGGGGGTCATCCGCGACTGTAAAATCGCTGACATCGTGGACACTGCCATGCCCATCACTATCTGCATAGCCTATTTTAACAACTGCCTGAACCCTCTGTTTTATGGCTTTCTGGGGAAAAAATTTAAGAAATATTTTCTCCAGCTTCTGAAATACATTCCCCCAAAGGCCAAGTCCCACTCAAGCCTGTCTACGAAAATGAGCACTCTTTCCTACCGCCCTTCCGATAACATGAGCTCATCGGCCAAAAAGCCTGCGTCTTGTTTTGAGGTGGAGTGACAGGTCCAGAGTCTCCTGGTTCAAGCAGTGCCCTGACAGAAGCCAGGGCAGCATCTGACTAGACGGCACACTACCAAAGGAACATTCACCCCTGCCTAGGAGCTAAGCAGAAAATGCATTCAATGGACTGTAGATGTTTTCTAAAACTCTGAGACAAAGCTTTGACAAGCACCCAAGCAAAGCCACTCCTTGCCACGTCTTTCATTATTAGATGATGGCTGTCCAAAGGAAGAGTCAGGAGCTGGATGGATTTGTGGATTAGGAAAACATTTGCTGGCAGAAATGCACTCTCCCTGGTCCCCTCTTGCTGTGTTCCTTTTGATTTCTACATGAAGGTATGTAGAACATGTTAAATATTTAGACAAGCAACAAGAGTCAGGAGGAGGTCAAGATCATTTGTTCTGCTCAATTTGCAAAGGGCAACAAACCCTTTTTGTCTCTTTAGTCATTAGTAATGGCGACCCACTTGTCCATGTTACTACATATATTGTGCAAAGATTTGCTAAGCTGTGGTCATCGGGTTTCAGGACCCCTTTGTACAATTCAGCTGGTGTCTTACAAATGCTCACTGCCCCCAAACAGTGCCAGTTAGTGGTGTATTTATGTAGCAGTGTTACCAGAGTCACACATCAAAGTCAAATTGCTTGTAATAACTGTGACTTCCTAGGTACATCAGCTTTATTTCACATTTGAGAATTGTATACAGTTGGTGGTGAATAGACTATATATCATAAAATCTGCCTTGCTCTCTAAAAAAAGCATCTATTCTCTACATATATGTACATCTATATCTCTGAACTGTCATTTGATGAAAATCTGTCGATGTTATATTTACCGCGCAATAAAATAATTTTATTGTAAAGTATCTAATCTTCATTCTTTAAAAGAGAAGCCCATCTCTTTTTACAGTGACATGGATGTAAGTGCCAATGTATTTTTACTTTGTTTTATCTGACTGATGGTTTAATATTGTTAGATACCGGTTTTATATCCCACTGTTGAAAAATATCAAGAAGGAACCAGTTGGTTATACTGAAGGATGTGGGACAAATGCACCATTTTGAAATTTTCAAAGTTTTTTGTACAACAACAAAAACATTTTCATTGCTCATAACATAAAATTAGTACAGTGTTTTACTCATAAATTTTTAAATAATCAGATGCCTCTACTTATCTGCATGGTCATTACAGGAGATTTAGAAGCTCTGAAAAGCACAAGATAATAGTCATATTTAGTTCTTCAACACAAAATTTTTCATTTCAGTGTTTTAGGCCACGTCTTCTACTATTTTTGTACTCATCATATATACATACATATGTAAATTATGGTGTTGGAGTCATAATGTAGATGCAATTCTGTGTACAGGTTTGTCCTTCAGTGTCATTGCACAGTAGTTAGTATCCCATTAAATATATTTCCTCAAACATTTTAATATTCTTACAAAATTCAAAGACACCTAATATAATTAGGGAATCACCAATTGGAATGTTTACCAATTTGTTGGGTATCAAAAATTGCACTGTGCTGATCATTCAAGTACTTGACTCTGATACTCTAAGAAGTAGTAGAACCAAGAACACAGTTATAAACAATTTTCCTATTCCCAGTAGATGTGGCCAATATTTTCCAGAAAACACAACACAATTTATCTGCCACCAACTACATTTGGCTGCAGCTCATATCAGCCTCACCAGAAAGGGGCTTATTTACTGAAAGAATCCAGGTACCTTATACAAGGACAGGGAATAAACTAGGGACAGCTAGCTCATTCTTTACCCTAGAAGCTTTCACTGTTCAGTCCCCAGGCATGTTGAGGTGTCCATTCTGGTCCAATAAACTATGCAAAGGGTTAGGTAATATTTAAAACAGTTAATTGTAATAATGATTAGAATAGTTGATAGATGCTATGGGCAAGGAGGTCATTCAGAGATATATTGGTGGACAGGGCAGAACCTCCACCAACAAATCATCTCAGTTATATTCTTGGAAATAAATGTGATTACATGTGCTTCATATTAATTTTTTTCTTGTTTTTTTTTCTTGTTTTATCTTAAATTTCATTAATACATTGCTGGTCACTTATTTCGGTTTTCTCATATTTTCAAAATGATTGTGTGGTAGCTTTAATGAGATATCCCCTATAAGTCTCAGATGTTTGAATACTTGGTCCCCAGTTGGTGACTGGGTGGAGGTGGGATGGGGGTGGGGTGGAGGGATCAGGAGATGTGACCTTGCTGAAACAGGTATGCCACTAGGGGTGGCCTTTGAGGTTTCAGAAGACTGGAGCCATTTCAGGTCTCTCTCTCTGCTTCCTGTTTATGGATGAAGATGTGAGCTTTCAGCTGCTGCTTTGGAAACACACTTGCCTGCCTGTCACAAAGTTTCTTAAGAGGATGGTTATGGACTCTTCCCCCATAAGCCCCAAATAAAGTCTTTTTCTATAAATTGTCTCGGTCATGATGTTTTATCGCAACAATAGAATAGTAACCAGAACAGATTTCCTCCAAACATTAAAATTTACCTCATTTCAAATGAGACATCATCATATATTTTTTCATAAACATATTTCAAATAAGTGCACTATTTGCTTTTGGAATTTCTTTTAAATATGCAAAAATCCAAAGATGTGCCATAAAGAAATGCAGGAGCTACATAACTAAGTCTTATTCCTATAACTACATGGGACTGAGAATCTGACAATACCTGATATTATAAATTAATTGTAGCTGAAACCTATCTCCTGACGTGGCATGGTGGCAAAATATTGACTACAATAAATCTAATTTGAAGCATGGAATCATAAGGAAGGAAGTGAGCAGCCGCAGCACCTGATGATCCAAACAGATGGCCTTGATGCTGTTAGGCATCCCCACTAGACCTGGTAGTCCATTAGTTCTCTTGGTCTCGTAGAAAGAGCAAACACAACATTCCACCTGGCCCAAGTCCAGTAGAAAATATCTCCATCAAACAAACTCATCTCTGCTTGAGAAATCATATAGCGAGGTTAAGAAGTGAATTTCCATGATCAGAAAGAGCCAGAATTAGTAACTTAGAATGAGCTTGTGTAGCTTTAACAATGTTTAATTATGTCATTCATGCACAAGAAAGCTTTGCATAGATCTGTTTCTGTGAGTTGAAAAACCCTAAGATTTACCCTTCGCTAGCATGATAAGAAATTATATATTAGCATGAGGTGTAAATTTAAATGATAAGTGATGTGACTTCTGAGACTATTTACAGCATGCTTTTTATTACAGTGACTTAGTTTCAAGAATCCTAATGGCAATGAGTCATGGATGCCCCTGTGTCCAGTTCTTGATTCTTTCCATGTCTATAAAGTTTCTTTCAAAAAGCTAAACAGGATGAGAAAACAGAGATTCTGAGCAAAACTGCCTGTGAACTAGGTTACAGCTCACAGAAATACTTTTCCAAGCACAATGAAGTTTTGTTGGGTCATACGGGTACATACAATTACCAAATGATAAGTTTCCAGAAATAAACAAATAGGCTTCCAACCTCTGAGCACCAGATATAAAAGCAGTTATATATGGTGTTAGCCTGCAGCACAAACGTCTGCTAGGATTAATCAGAGGAGATACCTGCACAGATGTGTATGGGCCTTAGCCAGCACCATGTATGTGACACTAGAAGGCCCAGTATGGACCCATTCTCACAGAGGCCTACTCCCAGGTGAACACTGCGGGGACATTTCCAAGCTGTGCTGATTTACTCAAAGCAGTATATTATCCTGAAGCTCTACAGTCAGTTTTTCAGACAAGCATGATTGTTTTCCTTCACTTGGGTAATAAGTGGATGATGGAAAAAGAGACCCTTCTACAGATATTGTCTTTATAGCTACTTCTTGAACTCCCAAAGACTCTCATCTCTTGCATCCCATTAGATTACCCATTGAGCCTAGAACCCAGCCGCCCAACCTTAAATACATTGGTCCATTCTCTTCCCCCAGCTCTGGTGTTGTGCATGTGATCTCAGCGTTGCCTAATCTGAACAAATTGATGCATTTTGCCAGGAGAAATTACCAAGGCAAAATGTTGATTTTCCTCCATTACACAAAGTCTTAGTGAACTTGAAGTGCTTTTCCTTCCAAGGGAGATGTGGGAATTTCCAGAAACTTATGTTGATATCCTGGCTTCTTCTCCCCGGTCCTGGGCAACCGGGCCTTGTTTCTCAATCCCTACTCCTTTCCTTTTCCCGCCCGGTGTTTTCCTTAGCACCCACCTGTCACTCCGAACCAGCCCTCTCCTGGTCTCCTGTGTGTGTGTGTGTGTGTGTAGACTTTCCTGGTCTCAGGGCCTCTCTAATCCTCAGGCTGTCTCACTGCCCTTGGACCGCTCTTCTCCGGGCAACCTTCTTTCACCCTGGGATCTGTCTTTGACAGGTGATCACACCTCACTGACAGTTCAAAGGCTGTCAAAGGGCGCATGGCTGCTTCCTGCATACCTTAGGTGGCTGCATAAGGACTCTGCATGTAGAATCCATGTAGAGTTGGGGTCTCGAGGAACTGGGCAGCTCCATGATTCCAGTTTCAAGTGCCCCAACTGCTGAGCCTCCTTCTAGAATCTGCCCTGAGGCTGCTTTTTCTCCCCCATGGCCAGCCTCTAAAGGGGCATTACACATTCTGAATCATGTGGATACTTTCTAAAAACAATTTTTCTTGACTACTCATTCAAAATCAATATAAGGCTTCATTTTTGTCTTAGGCCACATTTACTGAATTTCATCTAGAATTTGTCCCTGAGAAGTGGGCTCATTAATGGGAAAGACTGGCAGATCTTACAGTAGAGCATTGAATTTTATGTTTATTTTAATTAATTCAGTTTGAGCTGAGCATGCATTCACCCAACAAACAAGCAGGCTACAGCTGTTAACTGTCTAAGTAATAAAAGGCTCTGGTTCTTTTTGTAGCTAAAAATGTAGATAGTATTTACTAAATGAGATGGGAGAAGAAATTCTCAAATTAGTGTTTATGGCAAAGTTTTACCTTTTATACCCTAATAAAATGATGCTCTTTGGTAAATACTGAGGGGAGACTATGTTATATTCTGGAAAAGAATTCCCGAGAGGGAAACAGTTCAAATTTGGCAATGGATTTAGGTGAAGGATTAACCCAGGGTGGGAGAATCCCAGATTGTTGACTTATTCTAATTGTACATAGAAAACCAGGGGACAAGAAGATCCCAGATGTGACTCCTGAGGTCAGTTCTAGCAGTATCACTGAAAACAGCCTCTATAGAATGCTGTTCAGAACATGGGAACAGGAAGACAGTGGCAACATGACAGACTTACTCTTGACCTTGCCGTTTGCTCCTGGAGTTACCAGACAGAAAGGGAGCAATTGCTCATGAAACATTTAAAAATGAAGCCTTTCAGCCTCAAGCTGAGGGAAGGACAAAGTTGACAATCCCCACTCTAGAAGAATAAGGAGGGAGCCACAATTAAGGTCTATGGATTAGCTGCAAAGCCGTGTGGTAAATAATGTGTGAGTATCCTGATTTTGACAACTTATAATGTGCTCCTTCACCCTAGTTTTCATTTCCTATTCTCTCATGCAATGTCTCAAATTCACTGCATGTAAGCATCAGCTAGTATTTCATGGGAAAAACTGTGCTGAAAAGAGCAATGCCTTTCTTGAGTTAAGCAAGCAAGTCTACGAAGACTGCACTAAAAGCAGGGGGTTTTAAAGTCACTGAGGATTGTTAGATATGAAGGCAGGAATAGTAGGTGGTGGGATGGAACCTTAAACTGTTAAACTCCTGCTTCCATGGAGAGAAACGAACACATGGTTCCCACCAAGCAGCTAATCCTCAGAGAAGACACTAGGTGCAGAAATGAAATATCAGCATGAGTGCTACTGGCTGCTCTGAGGGACACGCCAGTGTCAGCATTCTAAGGGATTCTGATGAAAACTTCTATTGAACAAATCCAGAAGTGTGGGGTTTTTTTTACTCTAAATATTTTCATAGAGGAATTGAGTAGTTTCCAATGAAGAACACATTACAACAAGATAATAATAATAGGAAGTCAGAGGGAAGAGCCATACAAAGACAGAAGCAAAACCACTGATGGTGTTATCTGAGAAAAACACTGGGCTGAGAGAGAGCTTCTTGTACTGGGGTGAAAGGATGACATCACTAAATCCCTGGCTCCTTTCCCCAACAGGAGAGTAGACTATGCCCCTAAGTGGGGCATTTTCCTTGACATTGAATTCCTAAGGCAACTGCTCATGTGGGGTAATGGATGGATGAGACAGTCACTAATGGATGGTTTTATTTTTTATTTTCATACATTTCTCTCTCTCTCTCTCTCTCTCTCTCTCTCTCTCTCTCTCTGTGTGTGTGTGTGTGTGTGTGTGTAGGTCCACACCCAGGCTGCTCATGTGGAGGTAAGAGGACAGTGTGTAGGAGTCAGTACTATCCTTCCACCATGTGGAATCAGGGGACCTGTCTCAGGCTGTAAGTGTCTTTCTGCACTCAGTCTTTTGGCTGGACCAGTTTTATTATTCTATTCAAATGTGGTTCTTTTGCATATTCTTCTATTAAAAGAGAAGAGCAAGGGCTAGGTGTGGTGGCAAATGCCTGTAAAAATCCTAGCACTCAAGAGGCAAATTCTAGACCAGCTTGATCAACATAGTACATCCCAGGCCAGCCAGGGCTACAGAGCAAGATCTCGTCAAAATAAAATTCCAAGAACATGACAGCAATTTAATGAGTGTTGGTGATCGAAGGATAAGATATGGACTCAGCCAATGGTGAACGTCACAGACTGATGAGGACATTCTGGTGCCAGTGGGAACTTCTGAGTCCATTGAAACTTTAGATGAAATCAGCTCACATCACCAGAGAGTCTGAGGCCTTCAGAAAGTTCTGCAGAATCCTAGAGAGTTTGACATTCCTGTGGTCTCTTGAACTTCTAATCATTTGCCTTCCCTTCTTCAATGTACTAATCATTTTACTATTCCGGACATACTTTAAGATACTTCATTCCATGTGATACAGGCATGAAAAAGTTCCAGTCTAAAGAGGGGAAGATACAACATACTGACATGCTGTCCAGTTAGGGTGACACCACTGAATTAAGAAGTCCTCTGTCCCTCTGGATATTCCTCTTCTATACATTATCCAAGGTCAAATT